GATTTTAGCCCCATCCCTTCATTTCAGAACTAAATGGTGAGAGCTGGGGAGTCCTTGCTGAGTTTAGTGATACATCAGGGCACAAGGTACAGTGGTAAAAATGCCCATGAGGTCCACAAATTCATTCAATGTCTTCTTCTTCTTCTTTTTTTTTTTTTTAGAGAGAGAATTTATTTTTTTTTTTTAGTCGGCGGACACAACATCTTTTTTGTATGTGGTGCTGAGGATCAAACCTGGGCCGCACGCATGCCAGGCGAGCGCGCTACCACTTGAGCCACATCCCCAGCCCCTATTGTTGTATTGTTGAAAAAAAAAAAAAGCTAACTGCTCAAAATTGTGAAGATGTCAGCTGTTCATAAATTGATCTATAGATTTGCTATAATTCCTCTCAACATTCTAATGTTTTTTAAAAAAATATTTTTTAGTTATAGATGAACACAATACCTTTATTTTATTTACTTATTTTTATGTGGTGCTGAGGATTGAACCCAGTGCCTCATACTTGAGAGGCAAGCGCTCTGCCGATGAGCCACAATTCCAGCCTTAATGTTTTTTTTTTAATAGAAATTGACAACTGATTTCACAATATGTATGGAAATGTAAAGAGTCAAGAATAGCAAATACCCACCTAAAGAAAGACAAAGTGATAAGAGCTTTTCCACCAGATAGCAAGACCTATTAAATAATATGATACAGAGAAAGTGTGGTACTGCTTCAAGGAACAAGTAGAACAATGAAATGGAGTGCATCCATGGACTAGAAGTGTCTACAAACATACCCATAAATGAACTCTAGATTTTTTTTTTCAAAACAACATTGAAAAACAGGTAGAAAAGGAAAGTGACTTTAATATAAGATTTTCAGGACAATTTGGTGATGATATGGTAAAAAAAAAAAAATGTGACCATACTCCTGTCTCATATCATGTTTATTCTGAACCCTGCTTCCTTAAGGAAATATTAATTTTCCTTCTTTATCTTGTTTCAGAGAATTCTTCAGAAATACTCCTCCTGATAACTTCTTTTCTTCTGGAACAAAGAGATATAGATGTAAGAGGTAAAATCATAAAAAGTTCATAAGATAATGAAGAGAGAGAGAAAAAAAGGAAAGCTGAGTCTGAATGTGGAAACTGACTATAGGCCAGGGCTGCCTCCCCGACTCCATTCCAATTGGCAATAATGAAAAGACCTTTCCAACATGAAGGTTTTCTTGATGACTAATAAAGTCAGCCCAAGCACACTCTGAAAAGCCACAAAATGATGTTAATGTGCTTACCAAGGGAGCAAGAAAAAAGGAAAGCACTGGAAAATCAGAATGCAGATGCTTCTGGAAGGTGGTGATTTATTTATTTATTATTATTATTTTTTAATAATTTACATTTCTTTTAATATTTATTTTTTAGTTTTCGGCAGACGCAACATCTTTTGTTTGTATGTAGTGCTGAGGATCGAACCTGGGCCGCACGCATGCCAGGCGAGCGTGATACCGCTTGAGCCACATCCCCAGCCCGAAGGTGGTGATTTAAAGGACTATTGGCAATCAGTACATTTTAAAGAGCAGTTGGAACCCTTATATAATTTCAACAGTGGAGAAAGAATCTCTCACTTATCTACATCAAGGAAGGGCCTCATTTGACATCTCCTTTTTCTGTACCCACTGCTTTACAGACGTTTTGAGCAATATTTTTGGGGCCCTTAACATTCTTTTTCTTGTTTTGAAAGAATTTCAGATTTCAGACAAATATAAAAAATAGTATACATATCCCTATACGTTGTTTATCCCAATTGTCCAAATACTAACATGTTGTCCTACTTGCCTTAGCATTCCCTTCTTCTGTTTTCTACTTCTGTATTTTTTTTCCTAAAAATTTGAGAGTAAGTTGTACATATGAGATCCTTTTACTTTTAGAGACCTCAATGTGCTTTTCCTAAAAACAAGGACATTCTCTTACATAATCACAGTACTAATTCTCAAAGCAGGAAATTAACATTAGACAATAAGATGATGTAATTCATAGATCATATTCCAATTTTACCAATTTTCCTACAAATATCCTTTTTAAGACGACTACTCTTTGAAATATTCTTTGGCTCTAGTTTTGGTGAGATAATTCCCAGCTTTTTCAGGAAGATGTAGCCAACCATTCAGCACATGCAAAAAGAATTTGAGCCTCATTATTTTTTAGTTGTACATGCAGGCAATATCTTTCCCCGAATGAAGAGAACCCAAATGAAACTTTTCTTTGTTCCCCAAAGCCTGTGTTATTAGAGAAGATTGTTTCTCTTCTCTGTAGGGTTCTTGCCTCATGTTTTTTCCTGATTCCTCATTAGGCTGAGGCAGTTCATGTAAAAAACACTCTGTAAGATGTTTTCATCTCCTCACATATAATAACAAGATACTTTCCTATTTCAACTTAAAAGCAAGAGAGTATGCACAGGGTGTTCTAATTCCTGAAAGCAGGTTATTCCATAAGCCACCCCTAATTCTATGCTTCTGTTATAAAGGAGTAATCAAAGGGTAAAGGGTAACAACCTAAATAAATGTCCATCAGAAAAAGAACTGGTTTGTCAGACATGGTGGCACACACCTGTGATCCCAGCGACTCCAGAGGCTGAGGCAGGAGCATTGCAAGTTCAAGGCCAGTCTCAACCTTGTCTTAAAAACAAAAACCAGGGGCTGGGGATGTGCTCAAGCGGTAGCGCGCTCGCCTGGCATGCGTGCGGCCCAGGTTCGATCCTCAGCACCACGTACCAACAAAGATGTTGTGTCCCCCGAGAACTAAAAAAATAAATATTAAAAATTCTCTCTCTCTCCTCTCTCACTCTCTTAAAAAAAAAAAAAAAAGGATGTAGCTCAGTGGCAAAATGCCCTTGGGTTCGATTCCAGTGAGAGAGAGAGAGAGAGAAAGAGAGAGATATGCTTGAATTCCAGCCTATTTATACTATGTAACAGTGCAGCCATTCAAAAGAAAATGCAGCTCTATAAGTTCCAAACCAAACTAAATCTAAACCATAGAAAGTGACTCTGAAGAGGGGAATTGGGGAACTTGAGAATTGAGACTGAAGTGGGAGTACACCATTTTGTATCCTCTGATTTTTAAAATTATGAGTATATATTATGTTTGGAGGGGTGGGAGAAGTCACAAATGGTAGATAGATTCAAAGACCCCACATTGGAAGGAACAGCAGGTCCCATAATCCCTAGCTGTGCCTTCTATTTTTAAAACCATCACTTCCTTTTTCATTTTCCCTGAGCGACCATCTAGTACTGTCTTAGCAGGAATCTTTCCCTCAGCTAGGTAGTGTAGTCACAAAACAGACCGAGTCATGCACACACTCTCAGCAGAACTGCCCGCACATGCACACAGCCTCAACTACATGTTTTTAGATTTGGAGGTGTGTGTGTGTGTGTGTGTGTGTGTGTGTGTGTGTGTTGTGGGGAGAGAGACGGGAAACAAGCTTGAGCAATCTAAACCAGACCCCCTACCTCTCCCGGTGTCGCAGATCTACACTACCTTCCGTCACCCCTTTCCTTCCACCGCCTTACTCCCCACCCCCGCTCCAGACCTCGGAGCCTGGACTGGCGTAAATTTCCGCCTACTTGCGCCACCGCCCTGGGGGGTGCTTGATGACGTCAGGGCCGAGCGAGGGGGGTGCCGCCTTCTGGCTGCCCGCCCCTCCCAGGACTTGCGGCCCCCGCCAGCCCTTTAAAAGAGCGTGGCCTGCGCCAAACGCGCCACACCGCGGGGACCAGGACGCACAGTTGGTTGCCTGAGGCATCTCCATCTCGCCTTCCTTCGGCACCTCGCCTCCCTGGTCCAGCCGCATCCTCTTTCCGCGAAGGTTTGGGCGAGTGGGGCCATGCAGCCGGCGGTGCTTCTCAGCATCCTGGGAGCCGCGGTGCTGGCCGGTGAGTGGACGCGGTGGGCCCTTCAGCACCGCGGACAGCGCCAGCCCCGTTGTCCCCGCAGCTCCGGGCGTCCTGACTGGGGAATAATGGGAATCAGGGAGGGTTAAGTGCAAGATTTCTCCCTTTACTTGAGGTTATTCATTTCTTCCCATTCCTGGTGGTTTCCCTTAGATTATCCACCCCGCCAGTGCTCCCCTCTGACTTGGAAAAGCCAGAGGATTCCCTAGCCCAGCCAGGAGAGTCTCGGTTTTGTCATGTGTGGTCTTGCAGGTAGCTAGAAAGGGAGAAAGCGTGCCGCACCTCCAAGGAAACCCCACATTTTTTGCTCACTTTAAAGCTGTCACACTCTCTCTGCTGGTCTAGAAAGTCGCTGTTGAGGTCTGGATTCTGTATTTGTTTTGACTTTTTATAGCCAGGTGACAACAGAGAGGTGGAAATTATGTAGTATGATATTAGTTGGCACCTGAATAATTTATTTTATTATTATTACTATTACTTCGTAAACAATTAGGTAAAACTGAGTTCCATATGCATAAAAGATAAACCTTTTTCTTAACATGTTTATATATATGTTCACATATATGTGTGTACACACTTAATATATTTCTGCAGTTTGTTTTTTTTCATATCTAGAGAGAGGAGATTTCACATTCAGTTAATTCCATTTTTAAGTTATGAATGGAAGCTGCACTAGACCTTTGTACTCCAGGAAAATAACTAGATTATAAAATAATCACAAAAGTATCTCTGGAGTAGTGGAAAATATTTTGTTTTAGTCAGGTTGGGAAGATGAAATTTTTAAGTAGTAGATATGTGATAGTTTTTCTTTATGTGTGGAAGATTGTGGGTTCCTCTTTCAAAATACTCTGAACCTCAGAGAAATGATCTTGGAGATTCAAAGTTGTGTTTGTGTGTGTGTGTGTGTGTGTGTGTGTGTGTGTGTGTGTTTTGAAGTAAAGTCCCAATGGATAATCAGTCTATTGAGAAGTAAGTATACCACCACCAAACTAAAATAGAGTTTTCTTTAGCTGTTTTGATGACCTATCGGAAATTATTTTCTTCTGAGGTTGATATTCCTGTCTAGAATTGAGATATTGAATATTCATAGCTATACCCATATCCATGAGTATGAAACTCTTATTGACAGCAATTTCTGTGTCAAAAAAAATGTTGAGACAAAATTAAAGCCAATGGTAATTTATTTTATTGGAAACTACATGCCTTCAGGATTTTCTAAAATCTTTGTCATGCTTGCAAATTGCTAATAAATGTTCTCAATTTAATTAAAGGAAATCAAATGAATAATTTAGAATTCTTATGGTCAAAATATTTTTAAAAAGTAATTGCATAAGAGGCCAAAGAAATGCTATCTATAGACTAAAAAAAAAGTGACATTTGTGGGACTTAAATAAGTGGGATCAACTATGATGATAAAATACAAATCTTTCATATAAGAGAATATTGTAATCAAGGTTCATATGTTAATAGCAGCTAAAATGGAGTCATAATATTATTTTTAAATGTCTGTTAAGCTCTAATTCACACATCACAAAATCCACTCTTTTAAAGTGTATAATTCAATGGTTCATAGTATATTTATAGACCATGTGATCATTACCAATATCAAATTTGAGAACATTTTCATCACCCTGAAAAAATAACCCAAATACCATTAGCAATCAACTCCCCAATCCCCCTCCCACACTCCTGGCAATGAGACATCAAATCCTTCAATTGGAGTTTGTCATTTGGAAAAATCACAGGGCTGAGGGGAAACCTCAGAAAGCCATCTAGTTCATTTTCTACCCTTAAGAGCATCTAGAGGAAGTTCCACAACTGTCTATGGTAACTTCTGTGCATTTTAAAAATTAATGTAAGTGAAGTAGCCACATGATCACCATCTAGGTAAGATGGTTTCTGGCATCTAGAGTTTGATTGACTTTCATTTTAGGAAAAACTTTGAAGTCTTTGTAGCTTATTAGCAGAAGAGCTTGCCTAATCTGTTTTGCAGTTATATTTTCAATCTGGAATCAAACCTTAATAGTCTTATGCAATATTAACATTTTAGAAGTTATTCTCAGACTTATTATATTATTTGGTATGATTTTTAACCATTTGATTACTTTTAACATGAGCATTAGATTGTTTTATCTTTTGTGCTCTTAGGATCTTATTTTCTACAAATCTAAGTTTAACTACATCATTTTGACTATAATTTCATTGTCACAGATTCTACTGGAAGAAATACATTGACACTTATACGTCTCTCCAAATGTATAATGTACTTACAAATGGAGTCTAGCTCCTTTCCATCAAAAAGAGTCTGAAGACATTAATACCCTTTGTGGAGTCTAGCTCCTTTCCATCAAAAAGAGTCTGAAGACATTAATACCCTTTGTGCATATATGATTACATGACTGGTGCAATTCTACATCATGTACAACCAGAAGAATGAGAAATTATACCCCATTATGTATGAGGTGTACAATGCATTCTACTGTCATATATATCTAATTAGAACTTAAATATATTTAAAAAAAATAAAATAAAGAGTATGAAGAGCCTCAATTAGGGAAACAGGGCTGTTCTGTAATGTCATATGCAAACCCCAATTGTCTAGAATATTGAAGAAACATATCTCCCTCCATCTGATAACTGTTAATACTTTGGTAATGTCAGTAGTTAATAAAAGCATCTATTTTACATTTGTGAAAGAAGACAGAAGTATTAGCCTGAAGCTGTGTTACCAGAGAAGGTTTACTAAAGCTGAATTTTTAAAAAGGCAACTTCTAGTGTATTAGGAGAGTAATTCTTTCAGTTAGTTCTTTCCAGAGGATTTTATAGCTTTCAATGAAAAGAGAAAGTACCAGAGTAAGTAAGTATACCAAATAACAACCATTTGGTATATAAAAGAATAGCCAAGAATATTGGATCCTGGGTACTAAAGGTTGGTCATTGAGATCTGGTGTGACCTGTATTGTAGGAATAAATCAGGGTCTTCATAGCTTGTTAGGCACTTCTCAAACATTTTTAAATAATTCTAATAATCTGAGAAATTTGGGGCCTCTTGAAACACTTTGCGTAGATCCCAGGCCCTGCTTTGTAAAGAGAAATTCAGTAAAGTAAGCAAATGAAATAGGTGTTTTATTTCTAGGCTGAACCCAATGATATGTAATTGATTTGATGAGGATGGGTTGATGTTTAAAGAGGCTTGGGGAACAAAGCATTTTGGAAGGAAAGGTCTAGTTACTGGTCACAAATAAACTACATATGAGTAGCTCCCATGTTTGGTGTCTGAGGGTTTTGCTCCAGCTAGTTCTTCTTTAGTTTCAGAGACCTAGAATGAATTTCTGTACTGTGTCTTTCATCATAATACCAGGAGTGCCAGAAGAACTGTAGAGATGGACCTACATGTAAAAAAAGCATTGAGCTTCTCCAATGGAAAGGGCGCAGGCAAGTTAAAGATAAAAGTGAAAGATAAAAGAATCAAAGCAGCATTGAGAGAGGAAAAAATGGCACTGGAAAATTTAAATTACCTGAAGCACTTCCTACGAGTTTTTAAAGCAGTCAAACTCTTGTGAAATTTGATATACATAAAATTAAAATTTTCTCCTTTTAAAATATTCTCATAAACCTGTTGTTAAACATCAATTTGCATATGATATTATGATCTCCATCTTGTACTGGGAGAACTTGATACTTCCCACATTCTTGACATGCTTATAGATAATAGTAAGAAAGGGAAACACAACATTGATAGGGATGCATAAGCAAACTTGTTCAGAAAAAGACCTTGGTTTAAAAAAAAAAAAGCACATGTGAGAATTATTACCCAATGATAATGTTTTTGTAAAGTTAGTTTGAGGGAGGATATTTTATTGGGAACAAGCATAGGAAGAGAGAACCACAGATTTGTACCCATAGGGTATTGAGGAGGGTATATCTTAGACTATATTTTTAGTTATAAAATGTTTAACTGAAATATATAGAAAACTGCAGGAATCATGAGTATACATCTTAATAAACTTTTTGCAAAGTTAGGACAACTGTGTCACCAGCATCCAGATCAAGAAATGAAACATTACCAAAACCCAAGAAGCTCCTCTTATTTTTGTTCTGGATTTAATCTATTCTAGATTTCTTATAGCATTCATTTTGAAAAGTTTGAAGCATTGCTCAGGAAAAACAACTATGTGTGTATGTGTATGTGTACATGTGCACGTATGTATGTGTGGGCCTGTGTGTATGTGTGTGCAATGTGTACATGTGCAGTTGGGGCAATTGTGGCCACTGCAGCAATTGTCCCCAGCCGTCTGCACTCTGCTCAGTTCTGACTCTGTCCTTCTCTCCAAGTAATGTGGGGTGACTTGGGGAGTATGGGTGTATGGCTTCCAAAAATCAACTCAAACCAATTTTTTTCCACTCTTTTTCCTCCTTCAAAGCTGTCAGCTCTGTGCCAGTGGATAGCAGGAACCACAGTGAAGAGATGGTAAGTCAGATGTCAGTTGATTCTAGCTTCTCCTGCTCTTTAGCATACCAAACCCAACACAGTCTTACAAAGCCAGGTTTTCATCCATGAGAGAATGGTGACAAGGGCTGCCCCTCCCGCACTGAGCTCCTACATCCTCTAGGGAAGGTTTAGCAACTCTGAGGATAACTGTGTCATCACAACATTTTCCTTCTGACCTGTTCAGGAAAGGAGTTTATTTCCCTTCTCGGGGTAATCACAATTCAGTGACTTCTTCCATCATTCTGGTGTAGGGGCTTAAGGGCTTCATCTAGGTACTGTGAATCTGTTTCCCTGCATTAAGGATCCTGCATCAGTAGTCAAGTCTACCTGACAGTGGCTCTGGGTTGAGTCATCATCCCAATGACACCAGTTTTTCCAACCTGCTTTTGTGTCCTCCCCCACCACTGTAGGTGACTCGATGTATCATTGAGGTCCTCTCCAATGCTCTATCAAAGTCCAACATTCCATCCATCACCCCTGAGTGCCGGCAAATTCTGAAGAAGAGTAAGTATACCACGCTGCAGGCAGACCAGCATCTCTGCAGCGATTCTTACTGCTGCTCCCTCCACCTCACCTACAGATGAGCCTAGGGCATAAGGCAGGAGGAGAAATAGTGTTGATTGACCAGACTAGCACCTGGGGATATGGAGGTATGACTTCTATTCTCTGCTCTACCACTTGGTAACTGGGTGACCATAAGGGAAGACCCTTTGTCTCTCTATGTTTATTTCTTCAAAGTAAAATGAGGGAGATGAGCTCAAAGATGATCTTTGAGATGTTTATCAGTTCTTTTTTTTTTTTAGTTGTCAATGGACCTTTATTTTATTAATTTATATGTGGTGCTGAGAATCAAACCCAGTGCCTCACACATGGGAGACAAGCACTCTACCACTGAGCCACAACCCCAGTCCCTGTTTATCAGTTCTTAAATTTCTTGGTTTCATATTTTAAAAACACATCTTCATTTGGGTGGAAGGAGCTGTGGGAAGTACTTCTTTCGTGATTAGATGAGGAGGGGTTTGGGGAGATGCTAGATGATAAAAGGGCAGAGCTAGATTTAAAAATCACTTTGCCCTCTACTTTTCCAATGGTGAGAAGTTAGAAACTTAGAAAGTCAATCCAAAGATTTCTGGCCTGTTTACATAACAAATTAGTTAAGACATTTTAATGCAGAGCTTATTAGAGTGGAAGGTACTGCCAAATGGTACAGTAGTTTCAGTTCTGAAGACTGGAAGGGTTTATAGGGCAGAAGCAAAGCATCCTAATGAGTCAGACTAATGGCCTTCTGAGTCAAGACTGGGATGCTTTCTTTGCACTGAAGAGCTTCTGTGGGAAACAAGATTTGAATAGTGATAGAAGCAGCATTCATTGGGAACTGACATTATGAGATCAATTTTACAAAACTATGCAGTCCTTTTTATGCTTGAAGTCAGACTGAATCAATAAGTGGCCTCTGCTTTTAGGTTTTTAGTTGAGCTAGGAACAGTAGTTTGCTGCCTTTAAAATCTTTAAAATATTGCAAGACAACATTCTCTTGCAATTGCTGCATATGAGTTCTCATGCATAGAATGGTAAAAACAAGTATTCGCAATTGGCCCAAAGAGTAACCTGGGTAGCTCAATCTGCCTTTGGGGTTTTCAGGATAACCATGGTAAGTCATCAGGGATTCCACAAATAATGGAAGCTTTCCTATCACTCCCAGCCCACATAGCTTTCTTTGAATTTCATGTCAACTTTCCATTCCAGCCATTACAGGAATTGAGAGCAGAGTGGATCTTCAGCAGGGAGTAAAGACTGCTCCTTGGTGCAATTCTATCTTGCTCTCTCCCTTTCCCATTGTTTAGTGGATACACGCAGAAGTGAGGGGTCTGTCGTGTAAGGTCAGGATGTAATTATGATTGCTTAGGAAAAGTTATTAGATGTCAGGCTCTGCTTGGCTACCAAAGTCATATGCTTATCCCTCAGGTTGTAACCATAGTAATTCCAGCTTCTGCCTGTCACTAATTGTGCCCTGAGGTCTTTTGGTATCTATTGAGAGAGCACCAGGGAAAATGGTAAAAACCAAATGACTCATGTCTATAAGAACCTTGAAGATGTGGAGAGTGGCAGAATACTGAGACAGAAAAAGTTTAAGAGTTCTCCAGGGCTGCAGCCTCAAAAACAAGTCAGGGCCAGACAAACAGATAGTATAAAGAAGTAAGGCAGGACAGGAAGTGAATCACAAATTTGACATCACATGTCCCTTCCGAGTGGAACATATGTTTCTCAACTCTTATCCTTTTGTGGAGAACTACAGACTCTGCTTAAATCTTGCAACTTTTCAAAAGAAGTTGCAATTTTAATTTTAATTAATTAATTATTTCTCGTGCTGGGGGTGGAAGCCAGGGCCTGCTGCATGCTAGGCAAGTAAGTGCTCCAGCACTGAGCTACACCCCCAGCTAAAGGTTGTTCTTTAAGCCACATCTCCTGGCATTTAAATATTACCTCTGAATTCAAATTTACTAAAAATGCTGTTTAGGCCAAATAGAACTCATTTCTGGGCCACCAATTTGCAACATCTATTCTAGTCTTCTATCTCTTGGCAGTATATTCTAAGCTAACCAGAAGATGGGTAGAGCTTTGGCCAATTTGATGCAAGATTCCTGCATGCCATCTCTGTTCCACCCCAAGCCCATCTCCTCCCACTCTCTTCTCCACTTCTCTGAGTCGGCATATGCTCATTGAGCAAATGAGCATTTGAGGAGAAGGGAAGAATCATTGTTTTATGGAGACTTTAGGGAATACATAAACCAATTTCTTAGCAAGTAAAACGTCTTTTTGACTAGGGTTGATCTTGTCATTGTTGCAGCACAGCAAAAGTATAAGGTGCATTTTCCTCTTTTAACTTTAAAGTAAGGGTGAGCTTTACACCTTGGTTTTACAGATTGACAATGACTGTGTGCTGATTACCACAGCCCTTTTCCAATCTCACCTTCCGGGGCTTAGAGCTAAATTTAGGAGGAAGTGGCTAAGCTTCAGGCACAAGCTGCCACAGGCAGTACACTTTTAACTGAGAAGAAATAAAAATACTTCTGTTCCTGTCAGCAGGCCACATGGCCCCTTCCCCTGGAGGCTGAGATCTGTCTGATCTCAGATCAGCTCTCCTTCAGGTGACTTCAAAATGACATCAGCATCTGCCTGTCTCAGCTCAGGATGCTATAACAAATACCATAGGCTAGATAGCTTGAACAACAAATGGTTATTTCTGGTGTCCAAGATCAAGATGTCTAGTGAGGGCCCACTTCCTGGTTTATAGACAGCTACCTTCTCATTGTGTCCCTGTGTGGGGGAAAGAGATAAATGATCTCTCATGTCTCCCTAATTGGGGGACCAATGCCATCATGAGGGCTCCAACCTCATGACGTAAAGTATCTTCCCAAGGCCCCACTTCTTAATACCAGCACATTGGGAATTAGGACTTCAAAAAGAATTGGAAGATGAGGACACAAATATTCAGTACCACCCCAAACCTCCCTGTTTATCTGTGCCCACCTGCTAGCATTGCCCCAATGCTGTACACACCATCATGGACTATTAAAGTTCAAAGAGACCAGTGATGGAAAGGCCAGCCCTCAGGTATCTGGATATGGAAGGTTAGGAACATTCCTATTGTCTCATAAACTTGAGAATGTTATTATCATGACAGGCTTGGCTTTCAATAGAGAGGTACAGACTGTCTGCTATTTCTTGGACTTTTTTTTTTTAATAGAACAGATCAATTTTTTTCCTTTTGTCAATATCAGCTCAAAATGACTCATAAGTGTCTTTCAGTAGAAAATTAATATGAGCCACAAATATAAGTTCTAATTTTCAGGTAGCCATAGTTTTAAGAAGTAAAAATGAAATTAGTTTCGATAATATATTTCATTTTATCCAAATAGGTTTTATCTAATGTATAATTTTATATATCAAATATATTTGTAATATATTCTCTAATACATTCAAAATATCATCATTTTCAACATATAACCAGTACGAATTTTTAAATATATTTCACATTCTTTTTTTTTTTCATATGAAGTCATGGAAATCTGATGTGCACTTTACACATACAGCATGTCTTGGTTTGGACAACTGCTCCATAGTTCAAGGGCTCCATAGCCACAGGGGCAAGTGACTCCCACAATGGACAGTGGAGATGTTGATGCCAGAGGCCTTGGCTTCAGGCTTTCTATCTGTGAGATAAGTTGAAGTTCAAGTCCTCCCTGCTAACCACTAAGACACTGTTAACTGCGTATATCCTTTCATGGGAGGTACAGACCATCTTGGTTAAGGAAGATCAATAAAAGAACTGTTGATATTTGGAAAAAATGGAAGAGAATAGCAACATATTAATTAACCATCTACTGCTGATTTGTGAAACAGAAAAAAACAACTCAGTTTTCTGAAAATTATACTCAACATCTAAGAACATGTGTGAAGTAGATGTGACCTGAGTGAAGGAAGAAACGGTCCTTTCCATTGCAGTGCCATTTTCTCAGGGAAAAAAAATATACCCTTATTATCACCAACCACAGTCATGCATTGCTTAACAATGGGATTCATTCTAAAAAATGCACTGTTAGGCTATTTTCTTGTGGTGAAAACATAGGATGTCCTTATGCAAAATAAGATAGCTATTACATCAGTAGATAAAGTGATCTTATGGGCCCATCATCGTATATTTGGTCCATTGTTGGCTGAAATGTCATTATGCAGTCCATAGTTATACTAAGTTAAGTTGCCATTTACTTGCAGGTTGTCTACCCAGTTGATTGGATGATCAGGTCATCTGATAAACAATTAAGTTTTAAATCCTCCTTTAATCTTGATATTGCCTATTTGGGCTGCCTAACTTTATTTAGCTCAAGTATAGTTAGAACCATTCATGCAATGCTAACTTTTTCACCCAACTTTGAGGAAATACAGAAAGAATGGTTCTGAATTTTACCACTCTGAGGATCAGAGTCCTCCACATCTTCAAAAAGAGGAGGTTGGACTGGAAGAATTCTAAGATTCCTTCTAGTTCTACCCTCCAATATTTCATAAATCTATCTGGATTTTGATTTGATCATTGACAGTTCCAATAATAAAGGCTAATTGGATATTATGAAAACTTTAAAATATATAGAATTTATTATTAAATTCAAATGTAGCTAAGGAGTTTCCATAGCATTTTAAGAGGAACTGTAGTATGTTTTTTATTCATTTAAAAATTATCTAAGGGATGGGGTTTGTCTCGATGGCAAAAGGTATGACTTATGCAGTTGGTGGTGCGGGGGCGGGGGGCGGGAGAATGTTTACATGCTTCTGCCCTTTTCAATGCTTTATTCACTCAAATCACTCAATATGATTTCACTCTATAGGTTCTTAACCAACAAAATGACAATCCTTAAAAAAAAAAAAGAAAATGACAATCCTTAATGCTAGGCACTGCAGTAGACATAATCAATTCACAGCAAATAATTATAGATTGATTCTAAGCCCTGCAAACACACTTAATCATGACAGGCTCATGTCAGACATTCCCTCTGCAGGCTAAGCTCAAGTGTCAGATCAAAAGTCTCAAACCCTAGGCTCTAAGTCCAGCAGATGCACACTCACTCAGACTGTGGAGATCAGGTCAGGAACCAGGGCAGGCTTCTCCTGAGATGGAGCTGGTGGCTGGCTGAGGAGAGGGTCGTAGGGAGGAGTCGCAGTTCTCATCAGGGTCAAGATGTGGCTGTAGAGTTTGAGAGCGGTGAGGAAGATGCAGGGGATCAGGCAGATGAGGAGAAGAGTTGGGATGTCAGTCCAGGTCCCCACCAGGCTCTCAGCGTGAGGGCATCAGTGTCGGCTGCCTGAATGTCTGTTCATTTGCTCCATAGTTTATACTAAATTTGAGGGCTTCTGACCATCCTTTCAAACCCTATCAGCTGCCATCAGATTTCTCAGTATGTCATTTTCCCTGGGGTTAAAGCATCTGGTCTAGTGGTCCTCACCCTGATTTTCTAGCCTTTTCCCCTTATTTAGGTAAGAATAACATGGCAGACTCTGAGCTTCTCAGGGTGAGGAGAAGTGACTTGTTTGTGCTTGAGGGCCACACTGGAGGGCTCCGTAGTTGTGCCTGGTGAGGCTGCAGGTTTCAAACTGGAGTTTTAAAATGGAGTTGCTTAGGTTCAGTTGCTAAGGCCACCCTTACAGGGTTGTGGCTCATTGGTAGAATGCTTGCCTGGCATGTGTGAGGTACTGGGTTCAATCCTCATCACCACATAAAAATAAATAGAAATTTAAAAAGACATTATGTCCATCTTACAACTAAAAAAAATTTTTTTTAAAAGAATTATCTAAATAATTTTTAAGGGCCTCAAGATTTGAGGTGATTACTGAGGCTGGGTACTTGTTGAATCACAAGCATGACTGAAATGATCTTTACTCTTACGTTTTTCATGGTAGGTGGAAAAGAGGTCCAAGATGAAGAGAAAAGTGAAAATGAAAACACAAAGTTTGAAGTAAGATTGTTAAGAGACCCAGTTGGCGCCTTGGAAGCCCACAAACCCTCCAGTGGGGAGGAAGCAGGAGACCTGGGGGAAGAGGATCCTCAAGGTCCTACAAGAGCAAACCCAGAGAAGTGGGCAGAGGGAGGCAGGCCCAGCAGAGAGGGAGCAGAGGATCCCCAAAGGAGCCCCCACCCTTCCAACAGCCAAGTACCCAAAGAAGCAAAGGCACACCACCATTCTGAGAAGAGCCAGGGAGAGGACGGAGAGGAGGAAGAGGGAGAGAACTATCAGAAAGGGGAGCGTGGGGAAGAGGCCAGGGAAGGGAAACCCCTTGAAGAGCCAGAAGAGACACAGAATACTTTCCTAAACAAAAGAAACCAGGCTGCAGCCAAGAACAAAGAGGAATCAGTGGCCAAATCAGATGCACTCCCTGTTGGGCAGTCTGAGGAGAAGACACACAGCAAGGAGAAGAGCAGCCAGGAGAGTGGAGAGGAGGTGGGGAGCCAGGAGAGTGAACACCCTCAGGAGTCTGAAAGTCAACCCCAGAGCAGGGAGGAATCTGAGGAGAGCGAGGAAGGCACCACCTCTGAGGTAACCAAACGACGCACAAGGCCCAGACACCACCACGGGAGGAGCAGGCCCGACAGGTCCTCTCAGGAAGGGAATCCTCCCTCTGAGGAAAGAGGACACACCCTCCAAGAACCTGAGGAGGCAAAGGTTGGGGAGAAGAAGGACCACCATTCCACCCACTACAGGACTTCAGAGGAGGAACCCGAATATGGGGGAGAAGTGAGGAATTATCCAGGCGTCCAGTCTCCCGAGGACCTGGGTGGGGGGCACTATGGGGGCAGAGGAAGTGAGGAATACAGAGCTTCAAAGCCTCAGAGTGCTGAGATCCAGGAGGAGGAGGAGGAGGAGGACAAGAGAAACCCCCCCAGCTCAGAGCTTGACCCCATGGCACACGGATATCGTCAGGAAAGTGAGGAAGAGAGGGGCCGCGAGAGGGCAACGGGACACCATCCCAGAAGCCAAGGAGGGGAACCAGGGGCTTATCTGACTCCTGACACCAGAGAAGAGAAAAGGTTCTTGGGAGAAGCCTATCACCATGTTCCAGAAAGCCAGAGGGATAAGGCCAAGAGGCACCCGCAAGGTGAGTGGCAGGAGCAGGACAGAACTTACCTCAGCTATGATGAGGAAGGACCCCAAGGGAAGTGGCCACAGCAGGAGGACCCCAGGGACCTTAGAGAGGACAGGGAGGAAGCAAGTCTACAAGACAGACAATACGCCTCCCATCACACCACTGAGAAGAGGAAGAGACTAGGGGTGCTGTTCAACCCCTACTACGACCCTCTCCAGTGGAAGAGCAGCCGTTTTGAGAGAAAAGACCACGCAGACGACAGTTTTCCCGAAGGGGAAGAGGAAAATGGACTGACTTTGAGTGGGAAGAATTTCTTCCCAGAATACAGCTATGACTGGTGGGAGAAAAAGCCCTTTGCAGATGATGTGAATTGGGGATATGAGAAGAGAAGCTATGCTAAGGCCCCCAAACTGGACCTGAAAAGGCAGTACGACAGAGTGGCCGAGCTGGACCAGCTCCTTCACTACAGGAAGAAGTCCGCTGAGTTTCCCGACTTCTATGACTCTGAGGAACAGATGGGCCCGCACCAGGAGTCGGAGAATGACAAGGAGACGGTCGACCAGAGAGTTCTGACAGAGGAAGAGGTACAGGGTGGAGATTTTTGTTTAAAGTTCACTTACGATGGCCAAGGTGAATGTGTTCCACACTAATATGAATGGGGGAGAAACTGGGGAGAATTTGTCACCATGGGAACATAGCCCTAGAAACCAAGTGGAGGCCACTTCTGGGATTGAGTTCACATCATCCCTACCCACCTCTCTCTAGCGGGGTGCTTCTTAACCCTGTCTGCACAATGGAATCACCTGGTGAGCTTTGAACTTTACCCTATTTGAGATCCACCCTCAGGGTTCGGTTTAATGGATCCTGGGTGCTACCTGGGCATCAGGTGATCCCAGGGTTTAGCCAAGGTTAACAAACACTGTTCTGGTGTCTTTCCTTTAATCATTTGACTGCTCGTTCCTATCTCCCAGGGTCAGGAAAACAGATGATACAGAAATTAGTTACTTTGGTATGTCTTTTTGGTTCATGTCATACTTCAATCAGAAGTTGACATCTGGGAGAGGTAATATGATTGAAGATATACCTACCCAACCAATGCTTCCCCACTCCCATTAATATGTTAGTTGGTGCTTCTCAAACTTGAATGTGCATCAGAATTGTAAGGGATTTCTAACCCTCAGAGTTTCTGATTCAGTAGGTTTTGGGTGGGACCCCAAAATTTGTGTTTCTGACAAGTCCCTAGGAGATGCTGGGTATGCTGATGCTACTGGCCAGGGGACCACACTTTGAGAACCACTGATGTAGGTTGACTTGTGTACTTTGTAGCATATCTAAAAGTCATACCCCCTCAAACTATAGCAACATCAATTGATCTGGAACCTCATATTTCCACTTTTTTATTTTCCAGGAAAAAGAACTTGAAAATTTGGCTGCAATGGATTTGGAACTACAGAAAATAGCGGAGAAGTTCAGTCAAAGGGGCTGATGGTTATTGGAGCAGTGGGTGGTTTTAAGGAGCAGCAGCCCTGGCATTATCTATTTTTCCACCACTGTACTGAAAGACACAATTTATTTATCCAAAGGCAGAAAGTAGAATGTACTACTCATTAAATGTTTGACACAATTGAAAATGTCATTAATTTTTTTGCCAAAATGCTATTGAAAATATGAATAGCATGACTTGTAGCATATTCTTTCTTGCAAAGTAGATATATTAACATGCTTGTGACAATGACTTTGTGCTACTGTCTTTGAAAATATGTTTGTCTCGATTTGAAGTAATAAAAGATTCACCTGAGACCCAAAACTTCATGGTTCTCAGCTTCCTTTGGGCTAATTAGGAGGAGTGTGATTTTTTAAATCATTCTGTAAATTCTGAAAGATGAAAGGATTTGTTGGTCTTTGGATGTGTAATAGAAAAAATGGAAAACCTTTTGAAGTAAAACAATGCACAAGATCTAAAGTGAATGAGATCAGCAAAAAAATATCTGCTGGCCCAGCTGAGAGAGATTAGCTAGGCTTGAAGTGCTTGTTTTTAACATAATCATAAAATTCTACTTTAAAAATCCTACAAATTGGGGTCTGGGGGTTGGGCTATATCTAGCAGTACAGTGCTTGCCTAGCTTGCGGTTCAATCTCCAGCACGGGGGTCAGGTAGAGTGGGGGAAGCAGTACAAAAGAAAAAGCGGCTGATCCTCATTATCAGCTGGGTACAGTGGTACATACGTGCCTGTCGTACCATCTACTTGGGACCCTGAGGCAGAGGATTACTTGGATCTAGGAGTTCAAGCCCAGCTTGAGCAACATTTATTAAAATCCATTTCAAAACAAATAAAAATTCTATAAACTAGAGAGCTCTAGAAGTAGCCAGCCAAGGGCCTTCTGTTCCCCACTACCCTGCCCCTGGTCCCCCTGCTGAAAAGAAAGCCTGGATAACAGGAAGAGCCCTGGTTGGCACACAGAACATCTGGTCTATTAGACAGTTCCTTGGTCCCTCTCTCATGACCTGATTTCTACCCTGTAAGAAGACAGAGCTCTGACTCTGTTACTGTGTAATAGCAGCTGTGAGCCTTTGAGAAAGTGACTTTCCCTCTTTGAATCATCAATGGGACACTTGTCTGGTTGGGTTCTTACAAAATGATACAAGTTCATACAAAACACTCAACATGGTGACTGGTATGTCAATCGCATAGGAAATATTGGATACTATCATTTTTATCCCCGTAGCTTCAAGACAGTTGGACAATTTCTCTTTTACCTTCTATTATTACCTGTCATTTTATTCCTCACCAATGACAACTTCTGCTTGGCTATTTGTACTGTTTTGCAGTTCAGGTAATGAGCTGTTCTCTGAGAGGTGGAAAATAGATCTGGGGATCACAAGTTGACTTTTATCCATCTAGGAAGTCTAGTTCCCTTCCTCTGTTAAGAATTGCTTCACCCCAGCGACTCGGGAGACTGAGGCAGGAAGATCCCAAGTTCAAAGCCAGCCTAAGCAACATCGAGGTGCTAAGCAACTCAATGAGACCCTGTCTCTAAATAAAATACAAAATAGGGCTGGGGATGTGGCTCAATGGTTGAGTGCCCCTGGGTTCAATCCCAGGTACCAAAAAATAAAATAAAATAAAATAATCGCTTTGCTAATTTAACCAGTTTCTTTCCAGATAAACTTTCAGCAACATACTTTTTCCAGGTGAGTGGCAGTTTTATAATATGGATACAAGTGAACTGGTGCTATGAATTTGACAGCAAATTGTTCTAAATCTGGGCACATACTTCTAGAAGTTTGCTTACTATTTCTCTGCCTGGGATCATTTTTCCCTGGCCATAGAGTCATGACTTTTCAAAGGCCAAGGAGGGGTGCAGGGAGATTGTGGCTTCTGGAGGTGGCCCTCATAGTGAATAAAGGACTGATATATAAGTATCATACTAGCTTCCAGGGCTACCATAGGAAAGTACCACCAACTGCTTACAGCAACAGAAACATTTTCCCTCGCAGTTCCGGAGGCCAGAAGTCCACATCAGGCATTAGCAGGGACGTGCCCCCTCTGGAGTTTATAGAGGAGGATACTTCCTTCCCTTTTCCTAGCAGCTTCTGATGGTCCCAGTCATTGCCTGGCTGGTGGAGGTATAACTCTAATCTCTGGGTCCTCTTCCTATGTCATCTCATTTTTTCTCCGTGAGTCTCTGTTGCTTCACATGGCACTCTTTTGATAGAAGTATACCAGTCATTTTGGTTAAGGGTCCATCCTACTCCAATATGATCTCATCTCTGCTAATTATATCTGCCATGATCCTATTTCCAAATAGGGTCATATTTTGAAGTTCTGGGGGGTGGGACTTGAACATGTCTTTTACTGGGTCCGGGTTCAACCTATAACAAGACAGTCTAGCCACCATCTCCCTCTGGTGGAGTGACTCTGAAGCACATACTCTTCACTGCCTTCTGAGATTCCCTAGTGGGTTGGGCCCAGGTGATGCCACAGGGACCTTCTCCATTATCCTGCTCCATCTTTTACTGGCTGCCTTTACCCTCCTGTTTGCAGCCTTCTGGTGACCTTACTGGTATTTCCTGGGAAAACCTCCCTCATAAACTGCTTATCCTCAAATTCTTATCTGAGGATTTGCAACTGGAGGATCTTGATCTAAGAAACCATCCAAAGTTGAGGCAGGTATCTTAACAAATAATAAAGCCACAGTTGCAAGATATCAGAGTTTGTCTATCAAAACATGTAAGATACTAAAATGTAAGTTACCAAGAAATGCTTAACTTGTGCCCAAACACAGAGCTCAGTAAGACTCTGCCTTGGGCTGAGGTTGTGGCTTAGTGGCAGAGCGCTTGTCTTGCATGTGTGAGGCCCCTGGGTTTGATCTTTAGCACCACATAAAAATAAATATATTGTGTCCATATACAACTAAAAAAATATTAAAAAAATACTCTGCCTTTTTCCCAATTGCATCCCAGTGGAAAACAAAATCATTTCCTAAGTAAACAGCATTTAAGGGGCCCAAGATGGATAGGAGTTGCTCTCACTAGAAGAGAGAAAGCAAAACACTGCAGTGCACCAAATGCCAGCCTAGCAAGTCACACACACACACACACACACACACACACACACACACACACAAATGCATTATGTATTGCTTAGTGACAGGGACATGTTCTGAGAAATGAGTCCTCAGGTGATTTCTTTATGTGACCATCATAAAATGCACTTGTACAACTAGGGGATATAGCCAAATACATATCTAGACTATGTGGGGTGTGTGTGTGTGTGTCTAAAATAGCATATGCTCTAAAGGCCATGATGAAGAGAACAATATGAGATTACATTGAGCACAGAGAAAAGGATGCAATCAAAAGACATAGTAAACTTGGGGGAGGGAGGAGGGAAGGGAAAAAAGAAGGGAAAGAGATGCAGTCACCTGTTATTTTAGAGTTTTTAAAAAATCGAGTATTTCAATTGTCATGGCCTCTATATGCTATCAACAGATGGGGAAGACTGCAGGAGGGACTAGCTTGGGAAGGAAGAGGTGGGGAGCTCAGTTTTGGATATGTTAAGTTTCAGATGAGAAATAAAACATGTGGAAGATGAGTTGGGCATGTAGGGCTGGCTGAGGGAAAGGGCCTGTGCTGAAGACAACCTGGGACTCACTGTCCTGGAGATGGCATTTGAAGCTTTAAAACTGGGTGAGGTCCTTCACATTATATAAATGTCAAGGATGACCTCTGTGAGGTGACTCCTAGACTGCTTATTGCTTCATTGCAGGGCCAGACTGGTTAGTTCACCTATGCCAAATACAAATTTTATATATTTTAGACACAGTGGAAGCAATCTTATTTAGCCATTTAGGGTCTGCTAGTCCCCTTCCTCCCCCTTGCCAACACACACAGCAGACTAAGCCCAACAAAGGTCAACCAATGACAGCCATTGATAGGACAGAGTCTTGTGGTTTAAGAACCCAAGTTGCTTCCCAAGAATCCTGCTCAGCAACATCACCAAGATGAGCTGCCTCTTTCAGGTCCCCTCTCCCTGGGGTAGAGGTAGGGGTGCCTTGGCTTCCTTCCTCCCTTTCTGAGTAGTAACCCTGGTGGTAAGGCCTCGGGTCAGACTCATCCTCTCTTCCCCATACAAACCTGTTAAGAATGTTAGTTACCCAGTGAAGCATGTGTGCTACTGCCACCTTATGGTCACATCTTTCTTTGATCGGCTCCCAAATCATCATTATCCTAGGGAACCAGTATAGTAGAAGGAAGAAAGGTGCAAGGTTGAGCTCAGAGCACACCAGAAATGAGAAGGAAGCAGTGAAAGAAATCAGGATGGGAGGAAGCTGGGAGACAGTAGGGTCCTCCAAGTGAGCAGACTGGCAAAGGGAATGCTGGGTGGGCTGGTGATATGGCTCAGTTGGTACAGTGCTTGCCTCACATGCACAAGGTCCTGGGTTTAATCCTCAGCACCACAAAAAAGAGGAATGGGATGCTGCTGACAGACTTAAGAGGTCTAAGAAACTCTGGATTTCCTTTTATATCTTTGCTGCCTACTCCAGACTGTCTGTGGTTTCATTCAAAACACAATGCCTATAAATGAAATTTTAATGGAACACTCTGCTTTCACACCGTGACACAGCTGAATAATTGTGATTAAACCCCAAAATATTTAGAGACCCTTTTTAGTTTGTTGATCCCTGAAAAGCTATGAGAGGGATTATGTCAGAGTAAGTTTGTGAACCACTGAATTAAGTCATTTATACTCACAAAGAAATAAGTTACATTTGAGAAAAAAAATAACAAGTTCATTTTTGTTGTTGCTGGGGAGGAGTTAGGTTATCTCCCAGGGCAGGAACATGTACAGGCAGGGCCTTGGTAGCTGAGACCTGACCCATCCCTCTGAGAACTGAGAGCCCATGCCAAGGGGTTAGGGAAGGAAATGGGACTTGGAAACTGGTCCAAGTAGAACACTGTTTTAACAGTGACCAGAGGAGACAACGCTACTGAATCTCATCTATACAGTTTTGTCTTCTCGATAAACTTGACTGGTTGTATACAGATAGGTGAAAAATCTGATTGATATTCAGTGAGGTGTGCTCTCTACCAAGACAGACCATGCATCACAATTGACTGGAAGCTATCAATATGGCACCATGACTGCATCATTAATGACAGTTACACAGATCATAGTAGGAAACACTTTTATTCTTTAAAAACAACTGTTTTAAGAAAAAGGAATCAAAATTGTACTTGTTGGTAATCACACTGGCCATTATCAGAATAGCACATGCTGTTAGGAAAAAATTTTTCTCTGTGATTCCTCATTGGATGATAATCATCTATACTATGACAATGTGAACAATACACAAGAGCATGTTCTAGTAAGCAAGACTGATTCTCAAATGGATAAGAGCTGTGGCTTGCTCAGAACACTTTTATTTGCTGCAACAGATGATTAAATAATTTGATTCTAATTTTTCAGAGTTTATAAAGGTTAACCACCTAGTCCTGGCAGAGCTTTTCAGACCAGTATTTAATAATCACCAGAAAAAGGCACTTTTAAAAAACATTTGACAAAGAGCAACATCAACGCAATGAGAACTGGTCTAAGTCCTGCACAAAATTTTATCATATTTCAAATAAATAATATGTTCTCTGTCTTTGTGTGTATTAATATAGGCAGTACATTCTCTGTGTGTATATATGTGTATATACCAACACCTATACACCCATATACATGTGTGCATGTGTGTATATATGTATATACAATCATCTATACATACATATATATACGTGTGTGCACAAGTGTGCATATATACACGCATGCATGTGGTATATCATTAAGTCTCTGGGGAAAACAATTGTTTCTTTAATTAAATAAAAATTCTAGTCACTTTATTTCAAACAGGGAATAAAAGGATTGGCAAATTAACACCAAAAAAGTACCTACTAAACCTTTCTAATGTTACCCCGCCCCCCGCCAAAAAAAAAAAAGACAGTAAAATGAATACTTCGAACTTTCTCAGGTTGACAACTATTAGAATAATAAAACCTAGCATTTAAAAAATAGGGAACAGAGTGGATATTTTTGGTACTATAAATCTCATATACTCACACATTCATATTGCTTATGTTAAAGAGAATGGAATAAACAGCGGAAATTTCTTCCACAAATTCCTTCCCTTCAGTACCCATCAAGTTTTAGTTATATTGTGTTATTCCACTTAGCTTAAAATGCAAACAAGGTCTTGTATAAATACGTTTTCAGTATTCTGAAATTCTCAAGATATTTGCCGAGTATTTAGAATTACTCAGAGGATTTTTGTTAAATAAACAAAATTGTCTCATTAATCCACTACTGCATACTTGAGTTGTAGTTTGGACAGAGTAAACACATCTGTGTCAGAAGTGGACAAAGGCTATTCCTTCTTCCCAGAAGGCGTATACAGCCATGTTCTTATTCTCAGAATATGAAAAAGAACAGTTAACTGCAGAATGCCTGAGAACAAAAATCAAAGCCACTTGAAGAATTAAGAGCCAGATTCTGGGCATTTCTGCCTTTTAGCTGCTGGTTCTTCAGTCTTGTGTGATTCTAAAGTGCTTGCGCTGGACTTGAGGCTGGTGTCTGCTCGAAGATTGTCCAAGACAACAGTGAAGCCTGACAGAAGGTACCCCCCGCCTCCACTCATCAGCAGCTTGGGATGACTTCGATCTGGCAAAACCTAATCAAAACAAAAAACAGACATTCGCATTTTCCCAAGATGATAAAGTACATGCCAATGACACATTTATTAAGAATCATTAACAGATTCTCTTGAAGATTTAAATGGGTGAATTTCTAGAGTTCATTCCTCCACATGTCAGTGTAGAAATTGGGCAAATTGTTTGTGCAATATTCTGGGTCTATGTGCTACTTTCCTCTTGGTTTTAGGAAGCTTCATAGCCAACATGGCACCTGGGTTTATGGAAAAGTGGCTACTAGATGCACACTCAGAACTCCCTTCCCTGCTGCCCTGTTAACTGACAAGAACTCTTCTCTCCTGTTACCCTTAATTAAATAAGACAACTTCCATAAAGGGTAAGGTCACTCTGGGCTCAACAACATCCCTACTACAGTATGACAAGATGCCAAGCAGTAGAACAGGGTGTGGTAGTATGGAAGAGCCCCCAGCCATTTTCCCCAGATGAGGGAACTGGCTTTGAGGCATCCAGGCAGCAGAAAGCTGCAGAAATCAGTTGCTGCTGCTTTGGGATCCACTACAGTAACCATACTGAGGGAGATCATGGCCTGCTCTCAGTGGTAACTGAGCAGAGATACCAAGAATAGACCTTTCTGCCCAACACAGTACAATCTTTGTTCCTGAGGTCCTCAATAGCTGGGCTGAAACTTTCTCAGAACAGCACTGCAGGCTCTTCCTCCCCTGTTCTCCTTCTTCCACCCTTCCACTTTAAAGACACCAACCGGCACCTAATCCTGTTCCGTCTCACCTTACCTCTTTTTTTTTTTTGGTGGTGGTAGTGATGGGGACCCAGCATTGAACTCAGGGGCACTCAACCACTGAGCCATGTCGCCAGCCCTATTTTGTATTTTATTTAGAGACAGGGTCTCAATGAGTTGCTTAGTGCCTTGCTTTTTGCGGAGGCAGGCTTTGAACTTGGGATTCTCCTGCCTCTGCCTCCAGAGCCACTGGGATTACAGGCATTTGCCACTGCACTCAGCTCTTTTTATCTTTCAAAGGCATTTTCCCAATAAATCTTATACTCGATTTCCATCTCAGCATATGTTTTTCAGAAAACCTAACTTGACATAGACTCCACCTGCAAATCCTAAAAACATGCTGTGAAGATATTCTAGCAGAGAGAGAGAGAGAGAGAGGGCCTCCCTCATTCACCTGAGGATTTTGCTATTATCAATTTGTCCCCTCTACAGAGATGTCAAGGTCTTGGGGAAATAAGAACTACAACTGTTTGTACTTTAGAGGCTTCTGGGCTGGAGTAATGAACCTTGAAATGAAAAGAGAGTCAAGAAAGGTACAGGGCCCTTTCTCTGAGTCACAAGAAGAAAACATATCCATTGCAATAGTCAGAAATATTTCTACTTAACCACTTCCAGTACTACTGTAAGGAGCCAGCAACTCTGGAGAGCAGCTCCTCAGACAGACTGTAAGAACATGTACCTGATAATTTCTGAGCCAGGTTTCAGACAGCCTGAGGTTGATGACTCCTCCCCTCTCACGAAGTTTTGTGTAGCATTCCAACAAAGGCTGAAGGCAAAAACAGAGTTCTGTTAAGAAATACTTCCTGTGCTGCAGTTTGAGAATCAAAATTCAGATGTAAGAATGCTTGTCCACCTTGTTCCAGTATTACCTCTTTATACTGACAGTAGACCACAAATGGCCTTGAAGGGGCCACAAAGTCCAACAAAGACAGCAGCAATGGAGTGGGATGGAAACGGCTGGCTACAATTAAACTGCAAGGAAAATGTTAGACAAATTATTTCCCTAATACTCTAAAGTGAAATTTATTTAAAATAAATTTATTTATTTCACATAAGAAAGATTTAAATATGACATTCTAGAAATTCAAAACAATAAAATCATGAGCTATTTATTTCTAGGAAACACAAACTGGGTTATAGTTCTCAAATTTTTTTCTGGCAACAAGTCCAACACCAGATATACTGGTTCTGTAGATACTTAAATATAACTCTCCTTGTCAGGAGATTTTCACTAGATCTTGCCATTAGCCAGTAACACAGCTATTTAAATGTCCCACCCCTGCACCCAGTGGGACCACACAGCTTTGTCTGATGCACTGTCACTGGAGAACACTCAGATTTCTTCTGAAACAGACTAGCAACATCAATTTCCCACTTCTGCCAGATCCAGCCTTTCTTAAAAAATAGATAGAGAATCCTTATCTCAGTTCCCACTAGAATCAGAACAGACAGGCAGAAAGAGAGTGCTGATCCATTTGAAGCAGAGCCCACGAGCACCAAAGAAGTACCCTGCATTCTTTATTAACATACCCATCTGCGTTCCTTTCACTCAGTAGAGCAGCAGCATCTAAGTGTCTCTTCCTCTGCTCTTCTTGTCTCCTTTGCTTTTCCTGAATCTTCAAGAAGAAAAAAAAGAAACCGAGGTATGGAGGTTATGCAGTCAGGTTTACAGAAATACTTTGGTTTATCAAACATTTCAATGGTATTTATCAACTCAGACTAAAGCAACAGAAGGAGGGTCTTTATAAAAATGATAAAAACCTATTATAAACCGGCACCAAGCAACTACACAATGTTTCTGAATCCTAGAGCTGCATTCCAAAGATTAAGTCATGTGTACGTGTGTGTGTACGTGTGTGTGTGCGCGTGCGCGCGCACATACACAGTCTCCAACTATTTTGATATTTATCAACTTGGGCAGGGATGTTCCATAGCCAAATCAAATCTCATTACTTAAGTTAATGAAGGCCCTGGGAATATTACAAGGGATATGACTCTTGACATTCTTACATAATCTTTTTTGCTTCTTCTATCTTTAGGCTCCTTATATTCTGGATCTTGAGGAACAACTTCCATTGATTCTTGTTCTGGGTGATTGCTCTCTGGGGCCTCTGCCATGCTGTCTTCATTGTCTGGTTTAGAAGCCTGCTTTTCCTCAAGTGCACCATTACTTTCTTCAACTGATGCACTGTCTTTTGGCTCTGCGTATAATATCTCAGCAGAAAATGTTCCATTTAGGAGACTATCCACTTTGTTGAGGGGGAAATTCATAAAGACCACTGAGAAAAGATTTGGGAAATCCAAAACACGCTGTTGCTACCCGAACAGGTCCGTCTCCAGGGTAGAGCTGAATAATGGAGCCAAAACCTGAGCAAATAAAAGAAACAAACATCTGCACAATGGAGGCAATTCTAGACTACACAAACACGCAGAGAATATTCCACAATAGTAAGACTTTCCTACTCTGTTTAGAGGCTGAGGAATGATACAGCTCCTCTGGGTCTATTTGGAGCCTATGCCTATTTCAAGTGAAGAAAACATAATTCCAAAACAGATAAATAAGAAGACTTAAAGAAGCTACCCCCACTTGACGTTACCCTTAAAACCCTGGGATCATGGGTTGGGGTTGTGGCTCAGCGGTAGAGCACTTGCCTAGCATATGTTAGGCCCTGGGTTTGATCCTCAACACCACATAAAAATATATAAATAATATAAAGGTACTGTGTCCAACTACAATTAAAAAATATTAAACAAACAACCCCTGGGATCATGTGAATTTGTCTTTTACTCCAATCCTTAATCGGCATAATTTATATAACATTGTCTTCCACAGGGTCAGAGAACAGGCAAATCAAGTTGTATTGTATTCTTCCAGGAGACAATACTTCCCCAGTAGTTTTCCCACTCAATCCCTTCAATTTGGGTCAATAAAATGAGCACCAGCTATTTTACCGAAATCTGTCCTGAAGATCCTAGCCAGCCACAGGTCCCACACTCATCCCCCACTAATACTGAAGCTGAAAAGGACAACCATCAACAAGGGTACCAACACAATAGGATAGGTATACAGACCACAAAGGAAGGTCCCAGAACGGCAGTTATAAGAGTTCATGCCAAATCCCTTCATTAATCTTGAAGTAACTCAATCCAACTTTTAAATTTTTAATTTTTGGACTAGAGATTAAACCCAGGGGTGATTTACCACTAAGCTACATCCCCAGCCTTTTTTTTAACTTTTAATTTTTAGAGTGGGTCTTACTAAGTTGCTAAGGGCCTTGCTAAACTGCTGAGGCTGGCCTTGAACTTGCAATCCTTCTGTCTCAGCCTTCAGAGGGGCTGGGATTACAGGCATGTGCCACTACATAGAGTTTCCTCAACCCAGCTTTTTATCAGTTTACACTTTGGGGACTCTCTACTAATGCTACAGTACGATTTTACTGAACTTGCAAATGTTAAATCTTACCTCCCATTCGTTCCATCATTGCACCCAGCACCAAGCCTGAACATGTTTCCATTACAATCATTTTATTGCCAGCACGGATATTTCCCAATGTCAGCATCTGGGCTAGTGTATCATATCTCATATGGCTAAAGAAAAAAAGGATGATTCACTCACTTATTGCTAAGTAAAAGCCTCAAATTTTAATCATCATTTTCAAGTTTCACTTGCTTAATAAAAATTATGTTGATAAAGACTAGTGATTGCTTTGGAGGTGACAGTAAAAGGACTTACAATTTATGAAGTAGGAGGGCACTTTATGCAGGTGAGCAAGTTTTTCATTTTATTTAAAATCATGACTTTCTTAAAGATACATTTTCCCCCAATTATACTTTTGAAAGGAAACAAAGCGTACTTAATTTTTCCAGGTTCTCTTGCATAATACATAATTGAAAGAATACGGGTAGATGGCTTCAAAATAGTTATGACAGCTTCATATCTGGGGGAGTTAAAAACAGAAACCAAGTTTTTAACAAATGTTTAAAACATTTTATTTTTTAGTAATATATACTTTATAAATACAAAAAAAATCAAATATTTTCATCATTTCAAACTAAAACTACTTACTTCTTTTTCTTCTTTTTTATATATTTATCTTGAGCAAATTCTGTCTTGTCTCGGAATGTTGTACTATTTTCAATTAACTGCTGAACTATTTCCTATAAAAAAAGGAGTAAGCAGATTTCCTGAAACTTCACTTTCACAGAACAAATAACTTCAAGGGTTTCTTACCCCAGAATATATCCACAGGTCTGATTTTCCAGTCCCTCTTCCACAAAAGTCCAAATAGATCAACTCTGTAGTTCTATACTCTATTTAAAGTATTTTTAAAAAAATTCATTTAAACCAAGGTAAAGAAGAGAAATATACAATAAAGAGATAAAAAACACTGTCATTTCTAAGGGCACTGGCTGAAAACATTACTAAAAACAAATAAAGTTAAATCCTAATATGTATTGTTATTAAATTCTATAGCATTAATACTATTAGTAATATTATTCACTTATATTCTTGCACTTAAGAAACAAAATCTTGGGCTGGGTTGTAGCTCAGTGGTATAGTGCTTGCCTAGAATGTGTGAAGTACTGAGTTCAATCCCAGGAACCACATAAAAATAAAATAAAGGTATTATGTCCATCTACAAAAAAAAAAAAAAAAGAAAAAAGAAACAAAATCTTGATTATTGAATCGTATGTATATTACAACCTATTTCTAACAAAAGTATAACATTACTTTTTCCATTTTGCCTTTGGTAAAGACTGCTTTAAAAACTGAACCATTTCCTATATACCAAGCAAAGACAAAACTTTAAAAATCCTTTGAATATTACCTCTCCTTTAATGCCCTTGTCTTTCAAAGCTTTAATGTCATCTTGAGTAAGTTTCTGAGATTTCCCATCATCAATTATATTTCGATTATCAGTGCCAGCTTCTTTGGTCTCTAAGGAAAAGAAATTGCTCTATGATAATGACATTTATTATCGGAAATTATTTTATAATTTTTTTTTTCTCCAATTACCACATCTATCCCCTGGTCATTCCAGTGTGGCTTTCCAGTTCCTTTGCCCTCATTGCAGTCTACTCTCCTGTCATGCGGCGACTAATCCAATCTTTTAACTCATTTTCCTGTTTCCACTCTTACCCTCTTCCTATCCACATGGATTCCAAAGTGCCCTTTTTAAAAATAAAAACTGGTGCATCTATTTGGATGTTTAACAGCATAGAGTGGTTTCCCACAGCAATGAGAATGTGTTCCAAGAGTGACCTGCAAGGTCCTATCTGATGTGGACCCTGCCTCCCTTTCCTGGCCTCATCTCCTGACCCCTAAGCATCAGCTACATTGCTTTTCTTTCTGTTCCTTGAACATTCCAACCAAGGTCCCTCAGCAGAATTTTGAGACTTGTTGCTCCCCCTGCCTGGAAGGCTCTATGACAGATCTCCAAGTGGCTGTTTCTTGGTCATCCCAGACAAGGTTCATCTTGTCCAATCAGGCTCTAGTACACACCCCTGCTTTACTATTTTCACATGTACCATCATCAGAAATCATGTTATTTGCTTGTTTCCTTGATAATTTTGGTTATTCTCCACTGGTAAATACATTTTATAAGATACCATGTCTATAAATTGCTATAATAGGGCTAGGGTTGTAGCTCAGTGGTACAGTGCTTGCCTTGCATGTGTGAGGGGCTGGGTTCGATCCTCAGTACCACATACAAATAAGTAAATAAAATAAAGACATTGTGTTCATCTACAACTAAAAAATATTTTAAAAATAAATAAATAAAAAATAAAATAAATTGCTATTAAGTACCAAATAGGTGCTTAATAAAAATACAGATGTTAATTTTAAAGTATCTAATTGTTCTGGCTTAGAACTTTAACAGTATTTAAATTAACTTTTAGTAATTATTTAAATATATTTTACTGGAAATGTTTATTTAAATAAGCAAGAATTTATCTTCAGTTAATAATAGCTAAAATTATAGGACCTGACTATAGGCAAGGCACTGTTGGGATCTTCCTAAGAAGGCTATGTCACTAAACACACATCATAACCTAGGCATTAAACATATTTATGTCCCCACTTAATGAATTAGAATCACACAAATCAAATCATCTGCCCGAAGTTGCAAGTCAAGTAATAAAGCAGGCACTAAACCTAGCCACTTTATTCAAAGCCAGATCCTAATCTTCATCCTATCCATGACTCTGCACCAGTTTCTTAGCTTTTGGATACTGAAAAAGTTTTTTGCAACAAAACAGCAAGACTCATGGGATTAACTGCCTGGTTCAAGGTCAGGGAGTCAGTTAATAGTGGGCTAGAGCCAGAATCCAGGTTATTTCATTCCTGAAGGAAGTATTTGCTTCATTCCACCAAGACACAGTTCTAATTGGTGCACCTGAAGTAGGCTCTTCCTTCTTTTTCTTGAGCTGAAGACCTCCTCCACTAGTCACTTCAAATGTGGCTCCATAATTATGGCCAATCACGTTATCCAGGTAGAACCACTGTTTTTCAAAAGTTACTTTCCTGGGGGAAGAAAAAGCAATTAATTAACTGATTTCTTTTGTATTCAGTCAAGAAAAATCTGTTCATTCTAATTTATTTCAAAAGTGGTCTCCTCAAAGGATAATCAACAGCACAAACTGACAAACTTCAGGAAACAAGTTTGGGGCAGAGACATAAAATTAATAAAGAAGCCAGGAAAACACTGAATTTTGGAAAGAGGAAGCAAAGACAAAAGATGTTTCTCTTCTAGGGCATTATCTGAGCCCCTTTTGTACTGTCTACCAGGATGTCCAACCTCATAGGCTTTGCAGATTCCTGAATAATACACATGGTCACCAAGATTGCCAGGTCACTGGACATGCACTGTGACACCCCTCACAACTCACAAGTCTCAAAACAGAACAATCACTGAGATGACAAGGATTACAATCAAGACCAAGGAACTCCTTGGTCTTGGTCTACATAGCTACTTTACTGAAAAATTATCTAATACAAGCAAATCACATTTCAAATAAACATTATTGGCAATCTATAATTTCTATACATTTGGAAATGGAATCTAACACTGACAATGCTCTACTGTGACTGTGGACCAGGAAAGATTTTCTTATCACCCAGATTTGTATCTTACTGTTAGGAGGGGAAATCCCATAAAAACAAAAATCTTTCCTTTCAAAAGAAGAAAACTGATACCTGCTGCTGAACATCAACCAGAGATTAGGCAGTATGTTATGCTTTTTAATTCTCATACTAATCCTGGGACACAGCTCTCTCCAAAAGAGAAATCTGAGGCTTAGGGAAAAATGTTCTGTTCAAGATTGAGTTACAAGGTGCTAGAGCTAGGATACAAATTCAGGTCTGTCTGACCTCAAGGTCTAGTTAATTCCAATATATTAGACAATATTTTTCAGCAAAGGCCAAATGACCTTAGGAAGTACCATTGAGCTTCAGGGCCCAGCCCACATCCAAAAATTTCTGAATTTTGGGAGATGTAGTGCCTGTCCTATTTGTGCCCTCCTTCACTCCTTATCTTCCTTTGAGCTCCTGGAGTGTAACACAATGCATTCTGTATCACCTGGGTTCTCATCAAATGCTTCCCACCACTGCTAGTTCCCAGGTACATCACCTTCATTTTTTTGGTTCCTTATATCCTCCCACACCTTTATATGTGTACGTGTCCCATCTTCATTATATGTTACTTGACCAAATGAGGGAAATACGGCATGATCCCAAGTGATCCAGACAAGGCCAATTCTTATGTTTCGCTGGGTCCCCCCAAAACTAACACATACCAGATATTCAAAATATTTGTTGACACAACCCCCTGAGAAGTTGAAACTCAGCTCAGATATACATCTGCCACCCTCATCCTTCAAACACTTTAGTGCTAATGAACCAATGGATCTAAGCTTGGGTGAGTTATGCCCCAGTCTACTTGATATGCAAAGGCAGGGAGGGGTGTCACTTAAACTGATTGGTTTGACAGGCCAATACACCAGGTGGGAAGGGCATGTGTAGTCAGAGGGGATGTGGACACCCCATCTTCACTGGGAAGGAGTAGGGCTTGCCGTTCTCAGAGAGGCAGAACCACTTTTACCTAACCAGATGAGTGCAGCCACAAGTGAAAGATGATGGGAGTCTGGCCTGGGATGCAACTGAGCTCAGAGGGTCATTTTCTAATTAAAAATAGACATCATGGCTTTGTCAAGAGGGACCAAAAATAAGTGTTTCCAAATCAGGCCTAAAGAGAACCTATTAGAATTAAAGATGCTGCTATCTCCTTGGTTATGAAAAAGCTCCTGTTTAAAAGAGCACATAGTTAGAAGCACAACTATGCTTGAAAATTAAGGCACTTACAGGAATAGTATGAAAAAGAAAGTAAAAATGCTTCACCTGGATAGTTATTATACAGATGTGTAAATTGGGCTTAATCATCAAACTGTATACTTCAATTGTTATTCTTCAACGAAAAAGTTCAAGCAATTAGTATTGGAAAGCTCCAAAAATTATGCACTTGGAAGCAGGCACAATTTTTTCCCCTCTTTTAAAAATTTGTTCTTTTTAGATATACATAGAGTATATTATAACTTATTATACATACATGGAATATAACTTTAGAATAAAGCTAAATAATAAACCATTCTTGAGGTTCTACATGATATGGAGTTTCATTGGTAGTGGTGTGTTCATATATGAACACAGGAAAGTTGTTTCAGGTTCATTCCACTGTCTTTCCTATTCCTATCGCTCTCCCTTCCCTTCATTCCCCTTTGTCTAATTCACTGAACTTCTATTCTTTCCCTTCTACCCACTTGTTGTATATTAGCATCCTCATATCAGAGAGAACATTTGACCTTTGGTTTTTTGGGACTGGCTTATTTCACTTAGCATGATAGTGTCCAGATCCAGCCACTTACCAGCAAAAGTCATAAAGTCATTCTTGATGGCTGAGTAATATTCTATTGTGTATATATACCACATTTTCCATTCATCTGGTGAATGAAGGACACCTAGGTTGGTTCCGTAGTTTAGCTATTATGAACTGAACTGCTATAAACATCGACTAATTTTTAATGATACCTGCTTCACCTTAAATACTAGTTTGATGAAAACAGTAGTAAAATAATTTATGTGAAGTAAACATTTATCAGGAAATTCAAAATACTTAATCTAGCTTTTGGGTCTCCTGCCACTGCATTCAACCTGCACCTTACTTCTTTGTCAAGAGTTGATATAAGACTGAGGTTGTAGCTCAGTAGTACAGCACTTGCGTAGCATGTGTGAAGCCCTGGGTTTGATAACCAGCATTGCAACAAACAAAAAAGTAATATAATAACCTAGCTCAAAAAATAACTTGTACTTCTCAGTACAACCAAGCTATTAGAATTTAACAACCTCACCATTGTCATTGCCAGAGTTATCAAAATCCTACTTCACTAGTACTAACACAGAATATTAGGTAGCAGGTTCATAAATTCTGAGACCTTGAGTAAATTGCTTTTGTGCAATTCAACTTTTCTGGAATTTGAATACTTTGGTGTAAAAATGAAGCAAGCCCCATTGGACTCCATACACTACAGGAAGTTGTCTTCTTTCCTTATTCCACGTAGACAGGTTTTGCTGTTTGGGTAGAGAGAAAAGACCGGCCAGCCAGAAAGCCAGGCTAGGTAGAAGAGGTCATTTTTTTTTTGGCCGGGGTTGGGGGGTGAACTGATCCTGGCTGACGGATAAAAAGGAAGGAGACCTGTGAGGAAAAGGGGGGCAAGCAAGGAGGAGACTCTGAGAAGTAAGGATGAGAACTCAAATGAAAAGAGTGGGGGTCTGTAAGAACACAGAACAGATCCTAAGAACCTAAAGATAGAAACCCAGGAGGTGGGAAGCGGGGACGACGACGGTGGAGAGGGAAGCATTCAAACTGATCAATCAAGGACCAATAATGGGATTCTGGGGGAAGGGTCTCGGTGGCAAAACTGGAAAGGATGCCGAAGGTAGACCGCCGGGTATGGAATCGAGAAGGGGACTCTGTGGGAAGGTAGGGGGGACCTGGGAGAACCTGAGTGTCGAGATTGGATTAAAATCTCGGAGGAAAAGGCCACTGTGATAGGATCATTTGAGAAGAGGCAACGACTGCGGAGGATGGAGATCCAGTGAGTTAAGAATAGGATCCTGGAGGAAGGGGTTTTGGGAAGATCTGAAGGGAGGGAATATCTAGGTGGGGAGGGAGACCCCCAAGGCCAGCAACCTGACTTACTTTCTCCGCTGGACCTGCACTGCTTTCAACACATCTTCCCGTTTCAGCACCACAAAGTCGCCCTCGTGGATGCGGTTATCCCCGGGATGCGGGGGCTGTGGGCTCGGGTGTTCCCCTGAGCCCTCCATGACACTCAGCCGGTCTTGGTGTTCCGCCGCGTCCCTGCAGTCCCAAGCGCCACGGCCGCGGCCGCCAGCCTCAATCCCCACAACACCCCGGAATCAGGAGCCCTCCGACCGGCACCGCCCCCACGTGCTGTGCGCCGCTTCCGCTTTCCGGTTCGGTCCCTTGCTTCCGGGGGCTTCACGACTTCCGGCTGGCCGAACTCTTTGATTGGCCACTCTTCGCCCTTTCCTTCTTGTTTTGCCGCTACCTGGAACGGAATTGCGTCACGGAAGCGCCAAAAAAGAATTAGAGGGAGACTGGACAGTGTCTCGAGATGCTGTTGGGTCGCTTTTCTCCGGGGTTCTTTCCCGAGGTCGCAGTGGAAAAACTGAAGGTCCTGAGCTGCTGTCACTGAAGGGATCCGGCCCTGCGCAGAGACGTCAAAAAAGCTACGGCTGAAAAAACTCAAGACCTGAAGGGTCGTCTGAGGAGCTGGAGGCTTGGTGCTTTCCACCAAGGAGGGAGGGAGAATCAGGCCATTGGGATTAGCAGGTACCCCGGAGTTTTCTCCCATGCAAGTAAGAACAGCCTGAGATGTAAATGAAGTATTTAACGACGCACAGCTGCCCTCTTAAGTTTGTGTTGGAATTATTACTATTCTCATATTTTCTCGTTTGAGAAGGGTATGGCACGTAGCGTTATCTGAAGGAGCACTTCAGCTTGGGAGTCTGAAGACAGTTTGTCTGCTGTACTGTCACCAAACAAGTTTGATCTTCATTCGTTTCCTTAATTTCTCTGAGCTTCAGTTTCTCAGTATATAATGTCTGGTTGATGATTAGAGACCTGTCGTGCCCTAGAATCGTGAACTTTTTAGTTATTAACTTATTTACTAACTAAGCCCTCTTTAAATAGGAATTTGTAAAGGTCTTTGTGATGAATTGCACTACAGTGTGTAGATATATTTTTATTTGTGTCAGTAGGATGTGGAATTTTGTAAGTAGAACAGTTTTTTTAAAGAACAGCTTTAGTTTTTGGAAAAAAATGTGCAGAAAATGGATATGATACTGTGGGACTGGAGTTATGATGATGTTTCCCTGGTATCTCATAGTTCAGAATTATGTAAACACAGCAAGCAGGCATCTTAGAGTTAATTACTTGTCTTATCTTTATTTCTGTCATGGAAGCTCCTTGAAAACTGTTACAGTATAGTACCTTATTCTTATTCCATGAGAACTTAATGTACTTAATAAAACATCTACTGTATACCTTAAAGAGTGGTGGAAATTGGAAGAGTAATTGCAGAATGTTTGAGTTTTCTCCCATAGTATACAACTTTGTAAACCTATATTCTACTCAGAAGCAGAATAAATTTTCTGTTTTGTACCACATTAATACATTTTTAAGAGCACAACTTTCCCTCCTGTTTTGGTGAAGTCTTTTCTAATATCTATTTATTAGAAGACATGAGTGGTGAGTGCAGAGGCAGAGGATTTGGACGGGGAAGATTTCAAAGCTGGAGAAGAGGAAGAGGTAGTGGGAACTTTTCAGGAAAATGGAGGGGAAGAGAACACAGACCTAACCTGAATAAAGCCATTGGAAAAAATAGCTCTGGTATGTATGACCATGTGAGACAATGATTCTTGTTTTTTCCTTTATGAAGCAAACAGTTCATCCCTATCAGACAAAGTAATTTAGCTCAAACTTCAATCTTTTATTTGATGTTACTCCTTAGCAAGTATTTGAAAATTAACATGTACAATTCTTTCAGAAACCTTTTTTAGGTGCACTATTAATGTCATTTCATTGTTGAAAGGGGAAACAAATTGGAGAGGAAAAAAAAAAAGCTTTGCTTTGTTTTTATTAACCTAGCATTCTAGTTTTTGTTTTGTTTTGTTTTCCAGAACAAATCCCACAGCCTTTGCTACTACAGTCAACATTGGATCAATTCATACCATATAAAGGCTGGAAGCTTTATTTCTCTGAAGGTAGAATTGAAAGTACAAAAAGTACCATAAATTACATTTCCTTAACTTGTCTTTGTTGCATCTTATGTTTCTGTGATTTATTTGGCTTATTGCTACGTACTTCCTAATCTTTGTTTTTTCAATTAAATCATGTTTATATTAAAGAGCGTTATTTTAGATTTTATATCAGGTGGTAAAATACACTAGGTATTTCAGAAGAGAGATTTATTATAAGAAATTGGACATTCAGATGAAAAACTGAAAGAGCAGAAAGGGGAGATCAAAGTAAAACCCCAGAAAGTAGTAATTTGAGGAAACAGTAGCCATTCTTAACTTTAGCAGAAGTTAAGAAATACTGAGATTATCAGAACCTAGGAATTTAAGGGTAGAGGCATAGCTGTTTGGCCTCTAAAGGGTACCCTATAAAGCTGTACTTAGGCCCCTGAGGGATACACTGTAGCACTGTGCTCAGACCACTGATATAAATGAAACTGGTTGTCACTGGTAACTCAGGGGGCATGACTTAGTTGTTGCTTGGACCTGGAGGCTAGAACTGTAGTTATCCTCTGCAGCTGTAGACATATTTTTTTTTTAAATAAGTTTTTTTTTTTTTAAAAAAAAAAAGATTTTATTTATTTATTTATTTATTTTTAGTTCTCAGCAGACACAACATCTTTGTTTGTATGTGGTGCTGAGGATCGAACCCGGGCCGCACGCATGCCAGGCGAGCGCGCTACCGCTTGAGCCACATCCCCAGCCCCAGCTGTAGACATATTGAAAAGAATTGGAGACAAGAAGAAATTCCTTTCCCACTTCCTGCTTTCTTCCAGTTTTTTGAAGTGCCTCTAATTGGCAGAACCTAAAAGGAATCTGGGAGGTAGGGTGCAGATCTTGATCAGAGCAGAAAACAGACAATAGACCTGGAACCAGGAGCAAGTAACCAACACAGATTTCCATAGAAACCAATTAAGAAATATCTCTGAATACCAATCTTTGTCATATATCTATCTGTATGGATATGGGGGGCTATCTTTTCTGTGCTCTTATAACATCTATGTGTTCGTTATCTTTCTTATAAGATATGGGTTTTGTTTTATGTGTGTGTGTGTGTGTATGTCTGTGTTACACTGCTTGAAGTCAAGGACCCTGCCTCATACCAGACACCCACAATTCATTTTATGAATGATGCTTTACAAATGTTTTCCTTATTGGCAGTCTTTTTTTCCCCACTATTAAATAGACACATGTGTTTCATAGATTGTCTTGTTGCTTCAGGATACATTAGTCACCAACACTTCAACTATTCCCTTAGTGGTTAACCTCAGAACACTATAAGAGATTTTGGGACTGATCTTAAAAATAAAGTGCAAGAGATGCCTTAGGCCTGACTGGATATACTTCTATATTACTTCATTATCCTGTTTCTTTGAGAGGGTACTTGAAATTATATAGCTTTAGGATGTTTAAAAAAAAAAATGGGGGCTGGGGATCTAGTTAAGTTGGTGAAGTGCTTGCATTGTATGGCACAAGGCCCTGGGTTCGATGATGTTTGGTTTTAGCTGTTGTGTAAGCTATTTGAACTGAAATATGTAATTAGGTTTCTAAGGCTCCTCTAAAGGTTTCCCAGATATTGGGCTTTTTAGAGAGATTTCCTGTCTGCATTTTGGATTATGCAGGCCTAAACATGTTTTAGAATCTTATGTATATGTTTATGTTAGTTCTTGTTTAAGTGTAATCAGAATACAGAGTAACTGGAAGAAAAAAATCTGTCAAGTCTATAGTGTTATCTAATGAAAACATAATGCTAATGCCATGTTTGGTGGATTAGTTTACAGTGATAACTCTCCTTTTATTGAGAAGATTCAAGCATTTGAAAAATTTTTCATAAGGCGTATTGACTTGTATGATAAGGTAAGATTTTCTTACAGTAACACTACCTGTTGACCTTTATGTGTCATCTTATTGAACAGTATATTTGAGGTGCTAGTGATTATGATCATATGCACTGGAGTTGGACTGCCTTCATACAAATCCCAGCTCTGCCACTTATCTACAGTATGGACTTTGGTGAATTACTTAACTTCTGTGCCGCAGTTTTCTTTGTCTATCATTTGGAAATAATAGTATAAATAGCTACCTCAAAGAATTGTTAAGAAGTACAAGTGAGTTAATATATTGAAAACATTAGGACTGTGCTTGGTGTAAAGCTTATATGGTACTTAGCATTTTCACCATATAAACATGGTATGCTTTCTCAAAGTGTATAATTGAATGCTCAATTATGATAATTAACTCTAAAAGACCAATTGTTACTTTCAAACTTTAATCTTTTCTAGGATGAAATAGAAAGAAAAGGAAGTATTTTGGTGGATTTTAAAGAATTGACAAAAGATGATGAAATAACTAATTTGATACCAAATATAGCAAATGAACTAAGGGATGCACCTGAGAAAATCTTGGCATGCATGGGTCTGGCAATACATCAGGTAAATATTTATCTTGTGCTGACTTACATCAGAATTTTAAAGAAAGATTCCAGTGTCAAGACTTTCTTTAAAAGATAATAAGATTACCTGGGTGTGGTGGTACATGCCTTGTAATTCAAGCTACTCAGGAAGCTAAGGCAGAAGAATTGCAAGTTTTGAGTCCAAACTAGGCATCTAGCAAACAAGACCTTTAAAAAAATAAAAAAGATTTTACTAACAGATAGTGGTTACTGGCTTGAAATGAAGGTTCACAATCTGTTTAAAAATTGCCATTCATTCTATGTATAAAAGCTTATCTAAATATAACATTATTTCTAATGTATTTGAATTAGCCTAATATCATTAAAAATGGGGCAGATATTAAACTTTATTTTGGGGGAACTGTTCATTCTCATAGGGAAGATAAGACAAGGCATCATGATGTTGGCAGTTATGAACTTGGAGCAAGAAGATCAACTTCAGATCTAGGTTCTGTGGCATGAAGCAGATCACTTCATTTCTCATATATAAAATAGAAATAACAGTTTGTTTTCTTCTTGCCTGAGTTTTTTCTCAGGGTCAGATGGTATACATATATGAAAGCATTTTTTAGGCCAGCAAACAGGTAAATGCATTAAGGTAAAGAGTTGCTGATCTTAGGACAGACATAGATTATATTGCTGATTGCAGTCAGAGGCAAAGGTTATACCCTCACCTGTAGGGGGAGAATGGGGAAAACTCAGA